TTTAAGGAGATGCTGTGGGGAGAGGTATTTGTCGGGTACAAATGCTGATTCCTTGGAGTTTTGTGTGTGTTATTGCTGATCTCTTGTTCTGTGACTTCTGCTTGGAAACCTGGAAACTCTGACCATTGGACTGGCTGACAACATTGCTTGGATGTTCAAAGATTTCGGACTGTATTTTGGCTTCCCTTTTGAAACTGCTCAGGCAAGTGTGTATTCACACAGACTTGTTAGGTTTATGATGTATGTGTCGTTCCTTGTTATCTCCATGGCCTTGAGTAAATTCCTCTCCCAATCAGTCTGTATGTGAAACTACTTGCAGCCAGAGGCAGCTGAAGGTGTATGTGTCTTCCTTTGTTTGGAGGCTTGCCAGAAACGTGGGAGCATTTGGGGAAAATTTGGAGCAATTAAAGGGTGGTTTGAATTGCACATGGTCCCTGCGCATGTACATGCAAACAGGCGCATGCACGACAGTGGCGCTAGTGTGCACAAACATGCACAGACAGGCCACTGGCACCCATGCAAACAGGCTGCTGGCACCCACGCTCATGTGCAAATGGGATGCTGATGCCTGCACGCACGCACAAACAGGCCACTGGCACACTCACACATGCATAAACGGGAACACTAGCACTCACGCAGTGGTGCTATTGTGAGGGGGAGCTTGCCAGCTATTCCCATGGCCCGGTGGCCAACAGGCCACAGCTTGGTACTGGGCCGTGGACATAGGTGGGGGACTCCTGATCTACAGCACTGTTTCTTAACCTTGGCAGCTTTAAGATATGTAAATGTCAGTTCCCAATTATGCTACTTGAGGAATTCTGGGAGTTGAAGTCTACACATCTTAAAGTCACCAAGGTGGAGAAACATTGGTCTAAAGAACATTTTTACAAATGGAAAGCATTTAAACAAGTTTTCCATTGCTAAATGTCTACAGAGATTCTCAGTCATCCAGGTCATGGTTGTCCCAAAGGTGCTTTTTCAAGAGGCAACTGGCCTTTCTTGTTTTTCTTTTAAGTAGTTTTACTTCTCATCCAAGAAGCCTCTTCAGCTCTGACTGAACGGTGGGGAAACATCTTCAAAGAAAAAACAAGAAAGTCCAGTTGCCTCTTGAAAAAGCATCTTTGGGACAAGATCTCCATCGCTATCCCCATCCTGCTGTTGCAATAGTCCTTTCCAACCTATAACTAGGCTAAAAGACCAGAAATGTGCAAGGTATCTTTTCCAAGGCACAGTCATAGGAAGAGCGAGAAGATGGATAAAGCACACTCTTGAGTGGAGTCTTTTTTTCATTTTTTCTTGGATTCAGTTATGAGCTTTATCATGGCTTGTTAAAAGAGTATTGCAAAGTTAACATTATTCTTCAATCAAAAACCTTCATTCTGCCCAATGAGATTTATGATTGGAATAGCCCCCAAAAGTAGTTTGGATAGTGGGATGAACCAATAAGAATAGGGATTTTTCCTTCTTTTCTTCCTTTATCATATTTCCATTTCTCTGAGATTGAGACTAGAAATGTGTGGTAGGAATCAGGCTGCACTGGTTTCCCTTAAGAAGACCTATGGCTCTGGAGTTTCTCTCGAATCTGTTGGAGAGTATTGTCCTTTGGTGAACCATCATATACAGGACTTATTGAAGAAATAGTGCCACCTTCCAAAGAAACTGAACCCTGAGTAAGTAGTATTTCCTCTGACTTTCTCTCTGCTTAGAAGTAGGATGAGCGCATATGGCAGTAGCATGTCTGCAATACCAACTTGCCACTGAAGACATTCTTTGGCTCTGATGAAAGGAGACTGTTGATGGCAGTACACCAGCTTTGAAGTGACAGGGAGAGACAGAGATGGCAGACAAGAGAACCCAGCCTCCAGGCCTTCTGACTGAGTGATCTTTGAATGAGCATGGAAGAAGGACAGCGTACAGAGCTTTATGTCTTTGAAATGACTGACAGGCTTGTTCTCAGATTGAAAGTGACCACAGATCATGTTTTGGCCTCTTGTCATTAGAATCTTAAATACTGGAGCAAGAGAAATGCATTAGGTGTTATCTTTTCTTAGATCAGTGGTTCTCAACCTGTGGGTCGGGACCCCATTTGGGGTCAAATGACCATTTCACGGGGGTCGCCAAACAACGCTGTCCGCCATTTTTTTCCCCTTTTCTTTGGCCACGCCCCTGGCACCCGGTGATGTATAAGTGGTTGGGGGTCACCACAACATGGGGAACTGTATTATGGGGTCACGGCATTAGAAAGGTTGAGAACCACTGTCTTAGATCCAACCAGCAAGATTCACTACAGTCACAAAGTTTGGATCTAATACTTTAACAACCTATTTTGCTTTATGATAGGAATATCTTTCCCTTTATATTCTTACACACAAACCTTTTTTCAGATTTCTTGAATCATCCTTATTATTGTTGGCAATGAGATGTGTCATTTAGGCCAACTTCGTGGGAATTGGGAAGAGGCAGAAAGTGGCAATTTCAGTTCTGCATTCTTCTTTAATCTAGTGAATATAATAGGACAAAGAATCAGCATCTGAATATTCATGTTTTGTGTCCAGCTGAACTTAACAGCTTTTGCCTAGCCAGCTAAATGAAATGAAATGATATAATTGCAATACATAGCCCTTAATAATTTCTGAAAACTGAAGAAGATTACAGTGGTAAATTAGATGGGGAAAAAAGAATTAAGAATGTTTTAAAAACTGAACTATATGACTCAACTGGGTTACCCCAGCAACAGTGTTTTGATACAAAATCAGTATTCAAAACATTTATCTGGAGACATCCTGTCAATGCTAAGTACAAACCTAATTTCTCCCCAAATTAAGTCTACCTAAATGCATTTCAATGAGGACAAAGGTGTAGCCATAGTATGTTTCCACAAATTAACAGGTATTTCTTCGGGTTTGAGATTTAATAGCGACAGCATATCTATATTCAGACATACTCTTTGAAAATGTCTTCTGCATGTTTACTAAGTATTATATCTGTTGCATTTTCAGTGTAAAATACTTCTTTCTGTTATGCTTCCAGTGAAGAGCTGGTATCAGTGTCAAGGTTCCGACTGATGATCCCAACGTAGTAAGCACAGCTGAGACATTCCAATCTCTAAAGCAAAACTTTATTGAGCACACTATATCAGCATTGATGAATAGAAAACCAGGTCTAGCTAAATTGGTGCCAGAACAGTAAATTAAAAGAATAGAAACTCCCCTTTCCCCTGATAGTGCAAGTCACATTCCCCAATTAAACATCAGACAATTTTTATGAGAGAACTCTTTCATTACTTCATAAATAATATGAATGACCTTGATTCCCAGACTTCACAGCTCACAACCTGCAAATGCACATTCCATTAATTTCCCACCCCCACCCCAGATCTGTAGGTAAGCCAAGAAACAGAAACGGCTGAAACATCATGACAATGAGATCTAGCAGTGTCTAGGTTTCAACTATCATCTATTGTCTACATAAAAGTAGGTGGAACTTTAAGGCTACTCTCAGATTGAAAAACAGTTTTTGAATACATTGGTTAAATTGTCTCCTCCCCCCTCCCTTTTCTTTTTTTTCTTTCTTTTTTTTTTTAGATATGATGACCCAGCGGAAAGATCAAATTTTCTTTGGCCTTCTCTTCCATTTGGTCTGCTCCTTTGGGTATGGCTTTCCTGCTGATTCCGGGACTGAATTCCGGTCTGCCTTCTCTGTTGCTAGGACCAGCAGCATGGAAGGAAGCACCGAGATGGTGATCACCTTTGATAAGGTCTATGTAAACATAGGGGATGACTTTGACCCCAAAGCTGGACTATTTCGATGTCGTATCCCTGGAGCCTACTATTTTTCCTTCACTGTTGGAAAGTACCCCAAGAAAAACTTGTCAGTCATGCTAATGAGAAACAAGAATGAAGTGCAGGCAATTGTATATGATGAACATCACCGTAAAGAGCGAAAAGTGGCCAGCCAAAGTGCCATGCTGCAATTGGACTATGGTGATACTGTGTGGCTACGTTTACATGGGGATCCAAAGTATGCCCTATATAGCAATGTGGGCCCCTATACAACTTTCAATGGGTACCTCATTTATCCAGACACCTCTAGCTACTTTCAGAATAGAGTAGGATCTCCAGAACTAGGCAAAGAACCTTCTCAGCCTCCCTCTCATGTCATTCAGCAGCTGTCCATCAACCAAAACCAAGTCTCAGAAAGACTCCTGCTTTCCGATGAACCAGAAAGACCACAGGACCCTCGCTCTGCCTTTTCAGCCGCCCGTTCTGAAAGCCTCCTAGGATCGGATGAAAAGCAAGCCCAGCATGAGCCCATCACATTTGACACCGAGTTTGTGAACATTGGGAGTGACTTCAATTTTTCAACTGGCATCTTCACATGTCGTGTTTCAGGCGCCTACTATTTTTCCTTTACCATTGGTAAAATGCCTTTCAAAACAATGTCAGTAAAGCTGATGAAGAACCACAATGAAGTTCAGGCCATGATCTATGACGACAACCATTCCAAAAGACGTGAGATGCAGAGCCAGAGCATTATGCTTCCTCTTCAGTCTGGTGACATTGTCTGGCTCTACAGTCACCAGCACGATGGCTATGGTGCTTATAGCAATCATGGCAAATACATAACCTTCACCGGCTTCCTTGTCTATCCAGAGACCAAGACAAATCCCTCTTCAAATTCCAACATTTCTCCAGGGTCAAATCTCTAAATGTGCATATACAACATAAGAGGCATAAGAGCAATCCAGATGCAGCAGACTCTTGTGCAGGTCCTGGACAAATATCACTCTTCATATGAGAAGCTACAAGCATGCTATTATATGTCCAGCGTATTCCTTATGGACACGTTCCTTGTGTTTTCTGCCTGCAGAGCCATTGTGATTTCTCTCATTCATCCCTAGAATGACATTCACAAGTTGGTGTGTTTTGTTCATCATTACTATTAGACATAAGACTAAAGCATGAGACAATTTGGGGAATAAAAGAATAGGGGGAGATAAATGAGATATGCAAATAAGGAAATTTTTAAAAATGCTGAAAAGGGTTATACGGTAAAAGGCTCCCTCTGTGGAACGTTTGAGAATTGATTGCATTCTGTTCAACTGTTGGCAAGCATCACAAGAGAGGGACAGATATAATGGAACACCAAATAAAGCCTGAAACTAAAAGGACTGTGTGTATTTGTACATTTGATGTCACGATATTCAAACCTTTCCATTCATGAAAAAGAATCCCAAGCTTTCAATGTGCGGTATGTTTGTAGTGTATCTCCAATAATTGAAAAATCATTTGATGTTTGATAAATTAAAAAGTACTGGATATTTTAAAAAAAATTGCCTACTGTCAAATCCTTGACAAAACTATCGCAGGGAATCGAATTTTATCAATGAAGCTATTCATCATTTAGTATTAAAAGGAAATACTATCTTATAGGCTTCTTTAAGTCTTCTCCATCTAATGCAGAAATACAACAGACCAAAAACATTTTTTTTAAAAAAATCCAAGAAATATCTCTTAACTAGATCAGTGATTAAAACTGATTCCATCTGATAAATCAACTATGGATATTTTTAACGGATTGATCTATCAGTTAAAATACTCACTTGTGTGTTGGCATGTTGGATTATTACAAAAGCAGCCCAACAGAGAATTATATGCCTCAAAAAGAAATTATATACACATTTTATATGATGGTTTACAGTGGCCGAAGTGTAACAAATAAAAAGATAAGTTTGTTGAGTTCTTCTATGGTACTTTCCTTGGTGGCTATATTAAAACAAAAGCTAAAAGATAAGTTGTTTAAGGATTTAGTTGCTAGAGCATTTCTATATTTTATTTTGCCCACAAAGAAATTGTTTGGGGGGAAAGGGTAGAACTGGAGACTCCAGGCATAACCAACCAGTTTTGGGTATTAAATTATCTATTTCACTAATGAGCAATCAAGTTAAGATGGCAATATAAAATATTTCTTAGTTATGATCGTACAGTCATGACCTTGTAAATTTGTATTTTAAAATATCACATAGCCTTCAGAGCGTCCAGTTTCCAGGGCAAACATATGGAATGTCCTCACCTCATTTACTATATATGTAAAAACTTGTTATTAATCATGAACAAATAGGATATTTAGCATTTTAAATTGCCTGGTGAAACAACAACACCATCCCAACTCTTTCTTTCAAATGTTGTGGATGTTCTCTCTTCCCTTTTTATGCAGATCCTGTTTTTGTAATTGTAATTGTAAAGTTTTCCGGCCATTGCAACAATGTAACAAAGAAAATGAAAGAAATGTTGTTGCTTGAGCACTGTTTCTCAAAATGATCCTGCTAAACAGATCATTACTCTTTTCATGACAAGATCTTCCTTTTAACATGCATCTGCTTTCTTAACATTTATGCTACACAAGAAGATAAGTTGTGTTTTCTAACAGCAGTTAGCATGGAGGGACATATAGTCCTGTTTTCATTGAAACACAATCCCAGCCAACAGCAAAGGCCTCCCCAGCAAAAAAAATAAAAAAGTAGCATAAAAGTAATCTCTGAATGGGACACCCTAGGCCTAGAAAAAGAGGGAGAGCTGTGTTCAAGCTCCTGGATCAGCCTTCTCTAACTTGGCATTCTCCATATGTGTAAGGGCTATAAGTCCCAAAATTCTTTATCAGACTAGTTATGACTGGGAGTTGTAAATTATAGTATATTTCAAGGTCATTGGGAAAGGCTCTCCTAAATTAGATACATTCAAGAACAAAGGACTGAACTTGGGAAAACAAAGCAGGAAGATTGCTACTTTGGTCCATGCAGAGTCTTAGGATAATGCTACAGAGATCAAACAACTTCAAATGTATTTCTGCATTTTAGTGTGCAGATTATGGGATGAAAGAAGTTGGGCCCTTTGTGCATGAAAATCAGTTTCCTTGAGTCATAACGAAGCTGGGCTGATAGAATTTCTTCAATGCACTAACGTAGACAGGCATTTCTTGCCAAGGCCTGGAGGCTAAATGTTGAACAGAATCAGTCAGTTCCTGAGGACAGAATTGTTTGCAGAGCTCCCGAAGAATTTCACTGACCAGCTGAGAGAAAAGGTTGATCCACAGATTTTTATCCAGGCCTTGGACAATCCGAATCTGGTAAGCAGTAAAGATGGTAGTGAAAACAAGCTGCTCAAATTCCTCCGGAGTGATAGGGGTGTCAGACTGAGAGAAGTGATCCAGGTATTCTTCAATTCCTGATGGATTTTTGGGAACTTTATGTTGAAAGAGCCAGAGTAGGCGCTTTGCAGGACGCAGAGATGCCAGTTCTTCATCTTCTATCTTGAGGGTCTCGTTTGCCGTAATTTCAATTCCTCCCCAAAGTAACTGAAAAAGAGGAAGTATGAGGGAGTAGCAGAGACCTTTTCCAAGTTTCTCAATTTGAGCTTGGGTAATATTCAGTGCTGAACAACTATCTAGCTTACAGCCTGCATTCAGATATCACACTGAACAAAACCATGCCGAGTGAAGCTCATTGTTCTGAAGCATGAAAACTGCTAACAGGATTAGGCAACGTTGAAACCAGTGTGGTCAAAACTGAATACTTAAGTGCCTGTTAAGGAATATTTTGTATATGTATCTAAAATATTTATGTATTCTTTCATTTACAGTAATTATCAAAATATAAAATAATAATGGGAATGACAGGGAGATAGACAGCATATAATTTAATAAATAAATGCAGATTTAAAAAAAAAAGCTATGAAAAGATCAAGATTGGGCGGCATTATCTATCCCTTCAGAAGCAATCTAATGTGCAGAATTAACTCTAGGATGCCATCTCCTGGCTCTTTGCTAAAAGAGTGACACAGGTCGCAGCCATAAAAGTTAATTTCACCAGTCCTTGAGCTGGTAGAACAGTGGTTCTCAACCTGTGGGTCAGGACCCCATTTGGGGTCGAACGACCATTTCACGGGGGTCGCCAAACGCAGTCCGCCATTTTTTCCCCTTTTCCTTAGCTGTGCTACTCCCTTTTATTCTATTGGCTTTTGAAAGCCAATAGAATAGACTCTCTTGAATAGAGTCTAATTCTATTGGCTTTCAAAAGCCAATAGGAATTGTCCAGGCTGTCTCTGCCCTGCTGAGCCCGCCAAAAGTCCCATTCTGCAAATGGTGCTGCAAGTTGTCTGCAGCGAAGGCGAGCTGTCTGGAAGTTTCCACCCCTCCCTGCTGAGCAACTACTAAAAATGTAAGTAAAAGAGGGCCAGGGTGGGAGGTGGGAGGCCGGCGGGCACAGGGAGGGTTGCTGGCGCACATGGGGCCCGGCGGGTGCCTTACCTCCCTTGGGCTGGGCCAGCTGGTGGCCCAGCCAGTGGTTGGCCTGCACCGTCTCTGCCGCTTGCCAGCTAAGCCTCGGCCGGCGCAGGGGGCGGCACCACTCATGCGCGGCGCTCCCGGGCAGGGAAAGTCCTCGACTTACAACCGGTTGGGTAGTCCTCGACTTACGACCAGTTGGGGGTTGCGGCATTAAAAAGGTTGAGAACCACTGTGGTAGAACAAGTTAACAAAAGAGATGAGTGGGATTTCTTTACCTTTGTTTCCCTTCCTACCAGGCATTACTTGCTGGCAGCAAAAGGAAGCACTGGCCACTCTCCTTAAGGTGGAATGGGTGTGTGTATGTTTGTGTGTGTGTGTGTGTTCCAAGTATTGTGATGCTTTGAATGAGGAGTGGGGTGGAGAGGTTTTAGTCACCTATCAACCCATCTAACAGCACAGGTCTGTGATCTGCCAATTGCTCTATTTATGAACCTGGATCTAATGTGAGATAAAGCTGGAGAGACCTCTCCTAATGTTTTGGAAGTTATCTCATCTGAAACTTAAATGCCTTAATTTAAATAACAGTTAACTTGAGATCCCTAGCCATACAAAGCTTAAAAAACCCCAGTGCTGTTAAGCAAAATGATTTCTGTTAAAGAACAACAACCCCATCACATCTTGCAGAACTAGGAAATGAGGAAGAATCATTTGAATAGTGATTAATATAAACTTGATAATCCAATGATAGCAGCAAACAATTTGGACGCAAAAATCCATAAACACTAGAGAATAATAAGGAGCAATAATCCCACATTGGAGAGCAGTACTGGATTTCCTCATTTTTCTGCTAAAGAGATGGATTTTACTTTTGTTACCTGTAATATGATCTCAGCATTCTCTTCAGTATCTTTATCTGTCAGGTTCTTAAGGTGAAATTGCTCATCTAGAAAATAAATAAATAAAAATACATTTTGATTTCATGGATTAAGAATATCCTTTGACCAATTTCCTTCACATCGGCAGTGATTTCTTTTTTTTTTTTTTGTAAAAAGTTTTTATTTTCAATTTTATAATACATTACATTCTTAAAAATACTTCAGATAAAAAATAAAACAAATTGATACACACCACTTTCGGTATTGCTCACCCATTTCCCCCCAAACCGCATCCACCCTCTAACCAACTTGCCTCTTTCCCTCTTCTTCCTTTTCCTCACTCACCCCTTCTCCTCCTTCTCCTCAACCTTCCTACTTGCTTCTCGCCTTCTTCTATCTTCTCACTCCGGATGTGGTCCAGGGGAAATGCCCAAGCAATTCCTCTCTCCAAATTGAAACATCAATATTATATACAATAAAACTATTTCTACTTATCTGAACTACTTAAACTTCAACCCATCCTCCCCCCACCCCCTCCCCCCACTTCCCAGAGCAAAGTACAGGGTTATACAAACATATTAAACATAATCTATTTAAGTTTACTAATTATACAATAACCAAAATCATACTAACCCTTAACTCTCTTCAAACTTTAACATCATAAGTTTATAAACAAATTCATTACTCATAAAATAAATGAAACTTTGTAATTCCATACTTCTTCTGAACATATTCTATCCATCTTCTCCATACATTAAAATATCTCTCTTGTGAATGGTCCTTTAAATAACCAGAAATTTTAGCCATTTCTGCTAAATTAGAAACCTTAAATACTCATTCTTCTAAAGAAGGCAGAGTATCCTTCTTCCAATATTGACCCACCAATAATCTTGCTGCTGTTATTAAATTCAACATTAAGATAGTTTCTTTGGCATCAAAATCCACAAAAATACCCAAAAGAAACAACTGGGGAGTAAACTTAATCTTCCTTTTAAAAACCTTTTGAATGTTCCATCAAATCATAATCCAGAAGGCTTTAATATTTTTACAAGTCCACCAAACATGAAAATAGGTTGCATCCAAGCAACCACATCTCCAACATTTAGGTTGCAGATTCGGGTACATACAAGACAACTTTTTAGGATCCAGATGCCATCTATAAAACATTCATCGGCAGTGATTTCTGATTTGCTTTTATTGTTTGAGGATTTAAATAAAACAAAGTAAGATAAGCACTAATAAAAAGTTAAAGTAATGTTATAATTCACCAAGGTCCCAGATCACTCCTGTTCACAGCTAATTACCCAATGGGAACCTACAAACTAAAAGAAGTATTAGCACCTAAGTTGTGAGTGGCATCACGAAAGTATGGAAGCTTCATTGGCTGGCAGTTGCTTTATCTGATGCTTTGATGCAATTATTACAATCCTTAGAGCTCTGGGATTGTCTGTTTTAAGCAAAATATAAATAAGATGATTGGAATCTGAGCAGCTCTAACAAAGGCAAAGGCTTGGGCTTATCCTTTCTGCTCTGTGCATGACTAGAATAGACAGACAACATTGTCTCCATTAATCCTCCACTCACCATCACAACAGTCATTTTAGAATTAGGAGTTTAAAGAGGAGAATTAACTACACAACTGCTGATAGAGCAAAATTATTTCTTACATTCTCCTTTGAAGCTGCTAGGTGAAGCTAATAAATATATACAAGAAATATAAATTGTTGTATTTCTTTGACTGCTTATAGAAAAATACTGTATGGTTATCAAGATTTCATTCTAAATTCTTTAACTTCAGGAGTGCTTACCATTTAATAACTAAATCATGCAATTCTGTTTGAAGAAATCTATACTTCCTTCCAGAGGGAGTTACAGGCACTTCGATTAAAGACAGATGTTTGTAATGTTGAGTAACATTTGGTTTGGAGAACCATTTATTTTTTCCTAATATATAACTTTTGAGGTTCAAAGGCTATGTTTTATATATTCTGATAAAATGACACTGATTAGGTCCTGATAGCTATCATCTCAGGCAGCCTAGCATGACTTTTAAAAAGAAAGTTGTCACTGGAAAGTATTTCTTTGCCTCTAAGAGCCAAATAACATATTAACGTTCCTGAATTCAAAATGACTAATTTTTAGAGTTTCTTACATTGTCCTCTTCATCTGTCCCAAATATAACTGTTTCATATTCTATAACCCATTTATAATGAAATCATATTCTCTACAATAATTCCATGTTCTTTATTTTTGAAAAGGAAGTGAACCACAATTCTGATGTGATTTTAAAAGGAGAGCAGCAGCCAAACAGAAACTATTAGAAATTTTCATGGAGATAGATCATTGTAATTGTTTTTGTTTTATAATGTACTCTGCCCAGAAAATTTTGTTGAGATGGGCGGCCGTAAAAATCTAAATAAATGAATAAATATTCCCAGTTTATAAGAAATGTTTATTTCAAGGAAAAATCTGCCTCTGTTTATTCTAGAACTTAAACAGGAAAAGAAATCTAATATCTTAAACAGGAAAATAAGTTCTAAGATTATAAGTGAAAAATATTTGAGCTTTTGTTCTGCTTAAAGTCAAAAGGCTGCATTTTAATTTCTAGTCTCACACTTTCAGGCATTTATAGCTGCATAAAAAGCAGCAAAACTATGAATGCAGATTCTCCTGCCATCCTTTCATAAAATCTGCACGCAGTGGAAACCCTTTATCAGTTGAATTTGTTCCACGTATAGCAAAAGCCCAGTGGCTTTCCTGCAAGAAAAATAACCTTTGCAAACATCCTTGCATGGGTTTCAATCTATTAAGATTGCTTGGGATTATATGGCAGGAATCAACAATTTCCTACACAGCTGCACATAATGGGAAGCTTTCGGGCATATGTTTTAGCCCTCCAGTAACAGGAATGCAGGATTCTCTGCCCTTGCCAAACTTCTCCCTTTTACACAAGTTATTCCAAAGGTACTTTTTCCAGAAAGTAACTGGACTTTCTTGGGTTTTTTTTTCTTTGAAAACATTTCACTTATCATCCAAGAAGCTTCTTCGGTTCTAAATTAGTGTAATTAATTAAGCTAATTAATTTAGTGCCAGCAGAGGAGGCATGCTATGGGCCCCATTGGAATCCGGCTAGTTGGGGCCCAGGAAAAGAGCCTTCTCTGCTGTTGGCACCAGCCCTTCGGAACATCTTGCCTCCCAGAGCGAGGTTGACTCCCACCCTTCTGACCTTCCATAAGAACTTAAAGACCTGGCTCTGCCAACTGGCTTGGGGCTCCAGTTCTCCCCTTCTTATCCTTCCCCCTCCATCCCCGTGTTTTAATTGAGGCTCAGTATTTGGATCTTTACAATATTTGATGTATATCTTTCAGGTTTTGTATAGTTTTATCTTTTAATATTGTAAGCCACCCAGAATTACCCTGTGGCAAGATGGGTGGCCAATACATTTTATAAACAAACAAACAAACAACCTACCTGTCTGGCTCTGGGATCCAGCAATCACAAAGAGAAGCAGAACTGCCCAGACAGAAGGTCTGAAATGTAGCTGGAGACTTTGAGCCATGTCGAAAAGAATCCTTGTCCTTTCTGCGGCCATACAAATTGGGTGAAGATAATTCTGTTTACTGCAAATTCTTTCCCCTCTTTTCAATCCCAGAGGCCACTGCTGGAATAGTTTCTTCGCTTCTGTTCCAGTGCTGGGAAGAGTTTGCAGTTGACTTCTGTTCCTAAAAGGTAGTTTCCATCACAGGGCAAATGCTCAGAACTCTCTGCCAACACAAGTCCCATTTATTTCCCACTTGGAGCACCAGGCTGTTCCTTATTTTATTTCTGGCATTTCATTTTAAGTTTCTGACTTTTTTTTTTCCCCATGGAAAGGATACTAGTTTTTTTGCTCTTAGAGCAAAGTGCATGCTTTAGAAACTAAGAGTTCGTATTGAATATTTAAAACAGAGTCATAACAAGCCCTTTTTCAAAAGCCAAGATGCTTCCCTTCAAGACAGGCAACAGCTTGCATTGCTGTGTTTAAACCATTACTTCTAACATTTGCTTTCCAGCAGTTTAACAGAAGACCAATCCTTACATACCATGGGAGGGTGGATCTGTCAAATGCCTCCGTTTTGCAGCATCCAGCACACATATTTCACTGGAAAGTTACTTCTGCTCTCCAAATCCACAGCCGTGTCCCTCAAGGAAACTTAGTCACATAACACAGCTCTCCCCACCATCTTCTAACATCAGCCGGGTTATTGCCACACATGAAAGAAGCTGGATAGTCTTTGTGAGTACATCCTACATAAAGTTTCAGAAACCATCTGGGTAGCAGATGACTATTGATTATTATATTATTTTTAGAATTTCAGCCCAACAGGATTACGAGACGTTGAAGCCTTGTGTTTCTGCAGCTGGAGTGACTGAAAGAATGAAAGCTATGTACTAAGACAGTGATGGTGAATCTATGTCACACATCAAAGGAGACACACCATGATGTTTTGGCTGACATGCCAGCATTCGCCAACACTCAACAACAACTATTCTCAAAAGCACGCCCAGTTCCTGTGTGATTTTCAGAGGCTGAGGATGCCACGCAAGAATGTCCTTGCACAGCTTCTGGAGTCTTCAAAAATCACACAAAAGTGTTGCATCATCATCATCAAGAGTCCTGGTGGTGCAGTGGTTAGAATACAGTACTGCAGGCTACTTCTGCTGACTCCCAGCTGCCAGCAGGTTGGCAATTCGAGTCTCACCGACTCAAAGTTGGCTCAACCTTCCATCCTTCTGAGGTCGGTAAAATGAGGACCCAGATTGTTGGGGGCCATATGCTGACTCTGTAAACCACTTAGGGAGGGCTGTAAAGCACTGTGAAGCGGTATATAAGTCTGGGTGCTATTTCTATTGCTATCATCTTAGCCATTGTCTATCCTCTGCAGGATGAAGGTTTGTTCCACATGTTTCCAACCAGCACGATCTTGAGCTTTCTTTTGCCAATTGGGCCCATAATACTTGCTGATGTCATCGATCCATCTTGTTTTAGGTATCAATTGTGGATGCTTTTCATCAAGTGGCAATGGAAATGGGCTGGTCACATAGCAAGAAGAACTGGTGGAAGGTACACTAAGGCAATTAAAAAATGAATTCCACTTGCTAAAAAGTAGGGCATAATTTTATTTATTAAATTAAAAATATTTATTAAATTTATATGCTGCCCATCTCCCCCATAAGGTAATTCTGGGCAATTTTGCCCATTAATACTGCATGGTTTTCGAAGGCCGCAAAAGAGCATTCTCTTAAACTGTCTCAAAAACAAAGGCCTTGTGTGACTGAAGCAGTCTCAGGTAGGCCACAGGCCTTCTGGCTGTCAACAGAACACTGTCTGAAGGTAAGCATCACACAACAGATCCTGAGGCATACGCCAACAGAATCAAGTTAGTCATTTTTCAAATTTGTGACACGCTGAGGACAAAAAGTTCACCATGACTCCACTAAGACTTGGTAGCAACAAGATAAACCACATAGTCATAGCTCTTTCAATAAAAATGAGATGCAAACATAGAGGCTCCAGGGTCTCATGGGACGCCCAAAAGATTTGGAATGACCTCCTCCAATTTCCAAAGTTGTTACCAAAATGTGGCCTTGAGGGGGGAAATTATTAAATGTGTTATTGAAAGTAATATTAACTGTTTCATTTTAATTAATTTTAAACATTACATTCAAGCATGGCCCTATCTATTCCTTTTGGGTTATGGACCTTAGCAGGCCATTCAAAGCCAGGTGTGGCCTCAGGGCATAGCCAGCTTTGTTTCTTCCATCATGGTATTAACCAGTTGTGATTCTATATAGGCTAGAAGTGTTCAAAGGGGATGAAGTGGGATTTTTCCCACCTGCCCAAATCTACCTTTGCTTTGCATTAGAAAACACAAGTATGCTGTTCATGTTGTAATTTGAAACCTCAAATCATTAGCAAGATACCTGAATTCCATAAGCATCTTTGCTGATTTTAACATTTCTGGAAAAAAAAGATTGCCTAGCACAGGGATTATGATTTTCCCACTAGAGTTGAAACAGTTTACTTTCCTATAATCTTCCCACTAAAATATATACCAGGGGGTATATAATACAATGATTAAAGCAACATTACCATCCCTCAGACATCAAGCTTTTAAATTTTTCTAATCAGTTAAAGCAGTGGTTCTCAACCTTTTTAATGCTGCGACCCCCAACTGGTCGTAAGTCGAGGACTACTCAACCGGTCGTAAGTCGAGGACTACTCAACTGGTGCAGCACCGTGTGCAGAATGGGACTTTTGGCAGGCTCAGCAGAGCAGAGACAGCCTGGACAATTTCTATTGGCTTTTGAAAGCCAATAGAATTAGACTCTATTCAAGAGAGTCTATTCTTTTGGCTTTCAAAAGCCAATAGAATAAAAGGGAGTAGCACAGCTAAGGAAAAGGGGGGAAAATGGCGGACTGCATTGTTTGGCGACCCCCGTGAAATAGCCGTTCGATCCCAAATGGGGTCCCGACCCACAGGTTGGGAACCACTGAGCTAAAGAGAGTCAGACAATATTCCATTCACCTCTGTACTGGTTGAGGAAGATTGTTGATACTATATCCAAATATACCGCCATCTCTTTATCTTTAGTGCTTTCACCACTGATGAGAATAGTAGGGAGGAAAATCTGCTTCAATTGCAAACATACTACAAAACATTCAAGTGTTCTCCTTCCCCAACCATAATCACTCCAGATATATTAAATTATAGCCACTGTTGCTCAAGACAGTAGGAATTAAGGGAGCCACACAATTTTCTTCTACCACATCTGGAGACCAAAATTATGGGGAAGCAAGCCTGTTTCACATCATCTCCAAAAGGAGAAAGAGACCGATGACGATTCATGCACCCCAATCTCTTAGAAACAAAGCTCACAGTATTGTGATGGATTCTTTCCACATCCAATCACCTTATGTTGCTTCACTTTTTGCTCCGAACTTGGCATGACTTCTGCTGTTTCTAGAAATTTCACATGTTGCTGCAGATTTCTGACATTTAATGTGCATTAAATATTAATGTAACTTAAAACATCTGTATTCCAGATGCTGTTCTGGGCTCTAAATCCCAGTGATAAGAAACATTTTTAATTATTATTTGAAGTCAAGTTAAATACTTTGCTTGCAGATCTTTTCAGCTTCCAGTTCAATTCTCCACACCTTTATCATAACATCCTTCTTTTAGTGTAACTTTCTAAACTCACTATACTCAAAATACTCTGATCAGAATGTTTTGAAATGGACGTATTCCAAATAAACAAAACTTGAAATATTCTCTCATGTGTTCCACATGGAAGAAAATTTGAAACATTTCAAGTGTGGAACAGCTAGAATGAAGAAAGCAAACCAGCTGCTCTTTTGTTTTTCAATCCAAATCTATATAGTTAATAGAAAGGATGGTAATAAGACCTTGCCATCAGGCCTAAAAAAAAAAAAATAGCGAAAGAGGTGATTATTGAGGTGATTATTTGTTTTTTATATGCAATTTTTACATTTTCATAGGAGACAATGGAAGCAAAGCTTTAAGAACACGTTTCCCAGTCTGTTTGCATAAACATTCACAGAAACTCAGCGAAGAATGCATATGGCATTATTCACTTGAACAGAGTCCATGGACAGCAGCAAAAAGAAAAAAAAATAACTTATTTGACCATTGACTTCAAGCTGTTTTTCTCTTCCTAGTGCAGAATTATAGAAACAATTCTGTACTTGACAATCTGGCACCAATACTCAACAAGCAGACAAAAAAGCAATATGGCCTTGACATTTGACTATACAGATTCAAAGCAGATCAACAAGACCAGGTATATGTTCCATGTTACAAGTTAAAAACTAGAAAAACACCATTAGCAACATTCATGCCCAGCACAGTCCATTGCACAAATCAATCACAAGTTGCAATAGCTGGCTGTCAACCAAGAGCAGTCTTTAATAGTGGCTATGTTTGGGCTGGTCATCCAAAATTGCAGATATAACTCCCTGCTTGCGTCAGGCAAGCCGATGATTAGAATCCAGCCAGCATCTGTCTTTAAGTTAAATAAGCAGTTATTTTTCCCATTCACTCTTCTCACTCTATTCTTTGCCAATAGCAGCCTAGATAAAACCAGCTCCTCTTATTTTTCTGGCTTTGCTGAAAAAGAAAACTAAAAACCAAGCTTATTGCAATTTACAAAAGAAGTTACAAGATTAAAAGTTCTCAAAACACTCAAAACAGTGTTAATAAAGTATAAGGCAATGCTGTCAAGCCATGAGATTCTGTTCCCAACTTGAAGCTTTTGGAGCAACCATTTCAAGCTTGGAATTTCTTGCACATTTAAAAACCTTTATATATGCTGGCAGATGGCGAGCATCTCGCTCATGACTTCCCATATTCCTCAATAATAGACACTGAAATCCTGGGAAGGCTATTCTGATTAATGTTCCAAGTAATGGTGGCTGCATCATTATAGCTATAATTCAGAATGACACACAGTCTCAACAGTCCAGTTCTATGATATATGTTCCCAACTTTCTACCTATAGAAACTCCGGACAGCTTTTTATCAAAAGTGTGAAAACATAAATCAAAATATAGTGTGCATGAATACACTTGTGAATGATGAATAGTTATAAGGCCTTGAAGATCTGCTCACCCATTCATTGCCTGGAGGCTTTTTGCTCTCCCGAAGAGAAGCTCAGCTCACCACTCATTACATGCTCATTTTCCTTTAACTCCTTTCATTGTCTCTCCCCTCCTTTATTCCCCCATGCATCCCTGCCTAGAACCCATCAGGCTCCCCCACAAAGCCAATGAGTGACAGGCGGTCTTAGCAACAGCAGTAGCCAATAGCACTTAGACTTATATATCGCTTCATAGTGCTTTACAGCCCTGTCTAAGCAGTTTACAGAGTCAGCATATTGCCCCCAACAATCTGGGTTCCCATTTTACTGGCCTCAGAAGGTAAACCTTGAGTCAGCAGAATCGAACTCCTGGCAGTCAGCAAAATTAGCCTGCAGTACTGCATTCTAACCCCTGCGCCAACACACAATTAGCAATTCGTTTCACTTTATAGATAATATTTTTTTTCATTTCACAACCAATCTGAAAGCTCAATTTCTCCCATACATGAGATAAGCAAAAACTTCACATCAAGTTTTATTTATTTTTTATTATATATATAAATACATAATTGGGCAGAGAGGTGGCAAATGTATCCGTTCACCTCACCCTCCCCTTCTCACTGTTGTTTCCCATCTCCTTTCTTCTCTCCTGGTTCTATCTTCAAGGTTTGGGGAGCCTGGCGATAGGCAGGGAAAGCCTCCCAAGGACTGTTCAGATCAAATTTGCGGAACTCTTGAGCCAATTCCAACGGCTCTGCGACCACTCGCTTCACCTCATCATCGTATCTGACCTAATAACCGAGAAATAATGTCAAAATGAAGGGAGGGGGTAGACTCTCTAGGGTGGCTACAAGAGGCACTTGAATTTTTTTGCAAGTCATTTTTCCCTTCACACATGCACTGGATTGTTATTCAATACTAAAATGTCATCTTTGCCAATAAAACCTCACGCCACCGTCTTTTAAGGGGATGCTACTCTAGATCTTCATTCTTGGTCCTCAGTTTCACAGCCCCACCAATGAATGAATTCTCATTTGTAACCTCAGTCAGAAGTGGAGCATGACTACAGTAGAACCTGTGCAAGCGCATAGAAAATCTGGTTTTTCAAGGCAATTTGTCTTGAAACTATTTCCGAATTGGCAAACCACAGCTGTATACTTCCGACAGCTACCAGACAACAGCAACAGAAGAAGACTATCATCTCCTTTGTATAGCTGTGAGCTTCCTGAATGCATCTGGGTGGCCTCTGCAATGCAGGATCAGATGGGCTTCTCTTTGTTTATGTTTGTTATTATGACTGAATAGGTAGAGAAGACCAGAAGCCAACAGCTCAGTGCAGTGTTCAGGAAGGTGAAGGAAGCTGGTGAGATGGACTGGTTTGCTCAAAGTTCCTTTGGGAAATGATTTCACGCTTGCATTTCATACCCTGAATTTGCCCGCAAGATGTTTGTTATATGGGTGAGGCCAGATTCTATGTATGGGGAAGGCCACTTTCTCCTCAGGTCCAGTTTGCTGGCTCTGCTTTTTAGTGAATTGGTGAAGGAAGAGGGACTCTCTGGCGGTGCAAATATTGCTGTGACCATTCAGTCACCTCCAACCCAGATGGACACTGACGGATGCCAGAATTCATCAAACATTACACATTTCCCACTCCTGGATTAGCCATATCTTGATTGCTCTCCTATCTCCCTCACAACAGCCTGGTTTTCTAATCCTCAAAATAAAAAAGTCATATCAGGGATGCTCAGTCTGTTATGAAATGACTTTGTAATTCTTTATCTTATTCATACCTCCACATATCCAGAAAGGGGGAAATCTTTCCTGAAAGGGTGACCTTCAAAACCATAATCTGTAAGGATTCGTCTCAGATCTGGGTGGTTGGCAAAGAATACTCCAAACATATCCCAGACCTAGAAAAACAGAAATGAGGTAAGTGAACAGCTCAGTATATGTTGACTTTACAGACTCTAGTCAATTAGTCTGATTTCTCTGGCCTGGATTACGATTTCCCAAATAATAGCTATTAATTGCTAGGAATGTAGGCAGCTGATAGAAACAACCGGAACTTAAATTAACAAATGCTTGAGAATTAGGAAAGTATCAGTCGTTGTATTCATTTATCACATTTATACAGCTGCCCTTCTCACCAGAAGTTACTCTGGGCAGTGTACAACAGATTTGATTTAACATTTGTTGAAGTAAATCACCAGGTGTGAGCACAAAATGGGGAAAACGTTTTGAAACTGGAACAAACCAGATCAGCCAGTTTGGAAAAAACAAAATCCAGAAAATACATTACCTGCTATAGGTATCAGATGAAACAAAATCTAGATGGCTTGCATAGGCCAAGGCTGGCGGGTGTCACCCCCTTCACTCAGCAACTCCTGACATAGTGTATTCCACTGATCTGCTTCACCCCCTCCCATTTTCCCAACAGCTTGTATTCCTTCCTCGGAATGGGACAACTCGACACGGCCAATTCACCATGGCCAACTCGCCTCAGGACAACTCGTCATGGCCAACTTGCTGCCAGACAATTCAACAATTCAATTTAATTATTTAAAATAATTTAAACAATGTTTTAA